AGGCAGTGAGGCAGGCAGTGAGGCAGGCAGTGAGGCAGGCAGCATGGCAGGCAGTATGGCAGGCAGTGAGGAATATAGTAAGGTAGGTAGTAAGATAGGTAGTAGGCAGGCAGTGAGACAGGCAGTAAGATAGGCAGGATAAGGCCTAGGTAGTCCAGTATTTTAGGCAAGCACACCCCAACCATGAGGGGCCCAGCTAGTTATTTATATTATTTTATTAATTATGGTGGTTATATCAGGAGATTAAGGTTAATCAGTATTAATATATTAGGTGAATGAATATATATGTTTTAGGATACCATAATAGCACAGAGATGTATATTATACAGTTAATTTATAGAGTATATTAGCTGAATCCATGGTTTATACCAGGCATATATATATAAATGTGACATTGGGAATATATATAATATTAACCATAGTTAGGAGAGAGGTAGGTAGTAGGTAGGGAGGAGGGAGTAAGATAGGCAGTAGGTAGATAGTAAGGTAGACAGCAAGGTAGACAGCAAGGTAGATAATAAGATAGATAATAAGATAGACAGCAAGGTAGACAGCAAGGTAAACAGCAAGGTAGACAGCAAGGTAGATAGCAAGGTAGACAGCAAGGTAGACAGCAAGGTAGACAGCAAGGTAGACAGCAAGGTAGATAATAAGATAGACAATAAGATAGACAGCAAGGTAGATAATAAGATAGACAATAAGATAGACAGCAAGGTAGACAGCAAGGTAGACAGTAAGGTAGGTAGTAAGATAAGTAGTAAGGCAGGCAGTGAGGCAGGCAGTGAGGTAGATAGTAAGGTAGGTAGTATAGTTAATAGTAAGGCAGGCAGTAAGACAAGCAGTAAGGTAGATAGTAAGATAGGTAGTAAGATAGGCAGGATACAGCCCAGGTGGTCCAGTTTTTGGGATAGGCACACCCAACTAGAAGGGGCATAGCCAGTTTTTTATATTATTTTATTAGTTATAGTGGTTATATTAAGAGATCAAGGTCAATCAACAATAATATATTAGGTAAATAAATATATATATTTTAGGATAGCATAATAGTAGTAGAGATATATATTATGTATTCAGTTTATATAAATACCCAGATCCATGGTTTATACACATATATATATATATATATATATATAATATTAA